TAATTAGGCCCCGGTCGGCCGATCAGCCCCTACCGCTGCCCAGGTTCTTCACGACGGAGAGAGGCCGGCTCAGGCAGGGGTTGCGGGCCGCGGCGTTCAGCCTCGCCTCGAGTGGCTCTGGCACCCAAGGTGGCCCTGGTATCATCGTGTTCTCGCGGCAGCCTGTCCGCAGAATGCGTCGGACGTGCCCTCATCAACGAACATATCTACGCGGATGGGGCACCAGGATGGGGCTCCGACGCGGTTCCGTCGCAGAGCAGCTGCAATACGCATTCGTTTAAGATCTCGTCTGTGTACCGAAAGTTGAACACGGTCTCTTGGGATTTCGCAGCAGTCGAACATTTGGGCCACATACCGATGCGCTCTACAGTGGCCTCTTTGACGCTGAGGGTAATCGAAATGTCCAGCGCCCTGAGGTAGTGTCCAGTGCGCCCAGGGTATCCTCGAGGCCGCTATGGTTTTTGTTCGCTTTGAGGCCGATGAGCCTGACTGCTACCCCCCTGGAGCTGACGATCCCGATCGTCACGGCGTGCAGTTGGTGGCCCTCGTAGACCCCATGGCTCAGTTGGTTGCCCTTGTAGCTGAGCTGATGGCCGTAACAGCTCAGCTTGCGGCCCCCGTAGTTCAGAAGGTGCCCGTGGTAGTTCAACTGGTGGTTCTCGTAGCCCTGCTTGTGTTTCTCGAGGCTTGCATCGTGGCCCTTGCAGCTCAGACTGGGGCCCTCGCAGTTGTGCTGGTGGCTCTCGTTGCTCATTTTGCGGCCTTCGTAGTTTCGTTGGCAGTTCTCGTAGCTCTGCTCGTGGCCGTCGTAGTGAGGCTCGTGATCCTCGCAGGATAACTAGTGGCTCTCATAGCTTTGCTGGTGGCTCCTGGAGCTCTGCCTGTGGCCGTCGTAGATCAGCATGTGGCCCTCGTAGCTCAGCTGGAGGCTCTCGTAGCTCAGCGGGTGGCCCGCGGGGATCTGCTTGCTGCCCCCAAGAGCCCAGGTTGTGGTCCTCGTAGAGCTGCAGTTGGTCCTCGTAGATCAGCAGGCGGCCCTTGTAGCTCAGCCTGTGGCTCTCGTAGCTCTGCCTGTGGCCCTCGGAGCTCAGCTCGTGGCCCTCCTTTGAGTTCAGCTCGTTTGTCCCCGTAGTTCTGAGCTGATTGCCCTCGCAACTCAGCTGGTGGACCCGGCAGCTCAGCCCGTGGCCCTCGTAGCTTTGCTGGTGGTTCTCGTTGCTCTGCAGGCTGCGTTGGTAGCTGTGCCAGGTGGTCCTCGTAGCACAGCTGGTTCTGGTGTTGACCCTCGTAGTCCTGATTGTGGCTTTCGGAGCTCTGCTTGTTGCCGTCGTAGTTCGGCCTGTGTCCCTCGAAGCTCCGCTGGGGGCTCTCGTAGTGGCCTTGGGAGCTCTGCTTGCCGCCCCTGAGCTTGCCGCCCCTGAGGCTCAGGCTGTGGCCCTCGCAGATCCGCAGATGGGCGCCTCAGCTCAGCTGGTGTGTGTCGCAGCTGTGCCTGTGGCCCTCCTGGCTCAGGCAGCGGCCCTCGCAGCCCAGCTGGCGGCACTCGTAGCTCAGCTGGTGACCCCCGTTGCCATGCAGGTACCTCTCGCAGCTCTGTCGGTGAACCCCGCAGCCCTCGCAGCTGAGCCTCGCAAGTGACCTCTGCCACCAGGCCTGGCGTTGGGACGATCGCAGGGCAGGTGGAGGGTGCCGTGCGGATGCTGATTGTTGTCGTCGTGGCGGTCGTCGAACAAGTGCTGGTGATCGTACTGGTCGTACTGGTCGTACTGGTAGTGCTGGCGTCCAGCAGTGGCGAGGCGTCCTGGCTCGCCTATAGGCCCACCAAAGACTGTTCCAAGGACCTTTTGTGGTCTGCACGAAGTGTTATTTGAAGATTTCTGGTTGAGACTGTCTTGATTTGAACACATCGATTTATGTTCTAAGAACATTGTTGTGTTGTTAGAACATGCGTGGGTTCTAAGAAGACTTCGTGGTAGGCCTATAGGAGTGTTGGGACGGTCGGTCCCTGCTCAATGGTGGTAGCCGCCGACGCCGTACAAGTTGTCGAACTGGTTGTATTGTTGGTCGTGCTGGTGGTCGTGCCGGTGGTCGTGCTTGTCGAACTGGTCGTGCTCCGTGACCTCGACGACGATGCAACTTGCATTCTGCCAGGCGCTGATAAATATTTGGCTTTCGGCCGCTGGTTGCCTGAGCTTAGGGCTTCACCTCAACGCTGTTCGCCGTCAGTTGATCGTCCTCCGTCGCGTCGGAGGCTGCTAGGATCGCCCTCGCAAGCAGCGCGACGTCTTTGCAGTGGACCCTCTGCTTCTTCCTGGCCGCGTATACCAGGCTGTTCGGGCGCGGCGCCAGGGGGCGAGTGCGGGGGATGGATCCCGCTTATGGTTTTTTCTTCTTCCCTCCTCCTCCTCCTCCTCCTCCTCCTCCTCCTCCTCCTCCTCTTCCTCCTCCTCCTCCTCCTCCTCCTCCTCCTCCATTCCTTTTCCTTATGAATCATTTCTCCCTGTCGCACCCCGAGACCGGTCGAAAGGGCGGGCCGGGCGTTTCGCCTGAGACTTCCTCACCATGTATGACCCTGAAGCTTAAACGTTGACAACAGTTTCACAGGCGGAGGGCGGGTCGTTTTCAAAGTGTGGCTCTCGCTTTAGCGCCGAGCACATTTGTCTTAGAACTTGCAAGAGTCTCACGGATCGAGCGCGGGTGGTTTTCAAAATGTAGATCTCGACTTAGCGCCGCGCACATCCGTTGAAACGATTGCAGGAGCTTCGCCGGTTGAGGGAGGCTCGTTTTGAAAAGTGGTCATCGTCTTAGCGCCGCGCACATTCGTACTACAACATTGCACGAGTTTACGGATTTTCACACCTAACGTACTAGACATTGCGTTTTGGCAAGGCTCAGGATTTTGAGGGTGTAACAGTTCTGTTGATTTGCGGTGTTGAAGCTCCAGGAATGGCGTTCTGGTGCGGTTCAGGATCGTCAAGACGCAAGAGTTAGGTTGATCCGTGGCGTTGGAGTCCCGAGAAAAATGTCTGGCATGCTTCAGGGTGTTCATACGGTTGTCTCCCGACGGGGCAGTTCCTTTAGTGGAAATGAGCCCTTGTAGGGGGAATTCTGTATCAGTCGTCACTTTTGGGCTCCCGAGGCTTCAACTTGGAGGGCGCATCAGGCGGGAGCCTCCTCTTTGAGTGAATTTCGAGCAAGTTTCAGGCGGGAGCCCCCTCCCTATGTGGCCTGCAGGTCATGTTATTGATCCGAGCGGATCATCCCATCCTTGTAAGTGTCGCCACTTTTGGGTTCCAAAGGTTTGCATGAATCGAGGCGCGAGCTCTTGGCCTCGTCAGGTCTGCGAGCCTCTGGCCGCGTACGGCTCTTGTATCATCCAGCCAGCGTCGGCGAGAGCCTCTGGCCTCGTCACCCGTGCGAGCCTCTGGCCGGAAGTATCAGGCGGGAGCCTCGTCTGTGAGTGAGTTGTGAGGAAATCTCTGTCGGGAGCTCCCTCCCTAAGGGGCCCGCACTTCACGTTCGAATCCGAGGCGGGTCATCAGCATCCTGTAAGTGTCGTCACTTTTGGGCTCCTCAGGCCTGAATATGGAGAAAGTATCAGGAGAAGAGATAGAAGGAGGAGGAGGAGAAGGAGGAGGAGGAGGAGGAGGAGGAGGAGGAGGAGAGGGCAGAGCAGAGGGCGAGAGGAGGGTGTCTGCCAGGGCGAGGAGGAAAGGGCTAAGGGCAAGCTGAACAAATTCTCATGCGGGTTTCTTCCGTCGGAGTAATGTTTGTGTTTCTTTTGTCCTCTCGCTTTGCCGATGCTCCAAGACAGCCCAACACACAACATCTCACCCGAGACCGAAAGACGAGGCAAGAGGGCGCCGAGACTGCCAACGACGCACCAACGACTGCCCAAGAGACATCCAGGACCGCCGAAGGAGACCTCGAATCGCCGGAAGATCATTCCCAGACGTTCACGACGGCCCCCGCGTGCTCCTCAATCATATCCAGGCGGCCCATAACGCCCCCAGAACGCTTCCAGACGATTTCCGAACGCCCCCCAAGAGGGCCCCACGAGGCAACATTCAATTACTACCCGCCAGATTTGGACCGTTTTTCGGGCTCCTGCCTTTTCGGCTCGCCTGCGCTCCAAATCAGCCACAGAAGCACCACAACTCCTCGCCCCGAGACTGATTCAGAGGTCCCCACAATGGCGCCCACCCTTCCCAAGAGGCCCCACAGACGCCCCCAAACACATCCAGGACAGCCCAAAGAGGCACCGAATCGCTAAACAATAGTTCCCAGAAGCTCACCCCGACGCTCCACAGCAGCCCCAGGCGCCCCAAAGCTCGCCCCAGCATGGCCTCAGAGGCTCCCAGGAAGGCGCCGCAGGGCCCTGGGAGACCGCCCCCCGAGCCGGCCCAAGAGGCTTCTCAGATTGCACGGGAGGGTCCCAGGAATGCCCCCAGGGGTCCCCTCAAAGGGACGCGGAAACCGAAACATCAAGTTTTCCGCCCCGACGAGCTCTGATGCAGCTCATGCAGACCCTTTTCCAGAGGCCACCAAGAGGTCCCACGAGGCTCCCAAGAGGCGCCCCAGTCGGGCCCAGAAGACGCCGAACGGGCCCCGAAAGGCTCTGAGGGGCGTTGGAACGGCGGCAGGATACGTATATGCTGTCGTATGCGTGTTGAAGATTTGCGGATGCTAGAAGCTAAGCGCGCGAATCGTGCGCGGTTCTATAGTTGTATGTGTATGTGTATATACATGTGTGTATATACACGGAGGTGCATATGCTCACATATGTGTATAGTTGTGGTTTAACTGAACACCGTACACACAGTTGACTTGTCGATCCAGGCTTGTCGGATCTCGATCGCTCATGTGCAGCACCTATTCGTTGTCGACGTGCAAATCACAATGTGAGTTTTCCCTCAGCGTTTGACCCCGAGGTCCGAGGCCATCGTCAATCTTGATAACGAGTGGTCCTTCTCCTCATCCCTCATCTTCCCTCGTTGGACAGCCATTTTGGCCCAGGCCGCTGCAGTCCAAGCATTTGGGCAGCACGGCGGCTCCCCGTGCAGGGGCCTCTTGCTGCGGGGCGCGCTGCAGATATGGGGAAGTGGAGCGAGGCGAGCAAGGAGGAATGGGCCACCAAGGAGCTCGAGTTAGAAAACAAAAACATACATCATTTCTTCAAGGTCCGCACGAATTCTTGGATCGGCGTTGGGCCCCCCCCCAGCTGGCGGCGCCTCCTGCGCCGCCCCCAGCGCGGTCCGCGCGCCAGGGAGGCCGGTCGAGCGCCGATCCAAGAAACCCGCGCGGACTTCACAGAAATGATGTTTCTGCCGCTTTTGGTTCCTCCAGGAATGGACCGTGGCCGACTACGAGGTGCCCGGCTTTGCCGAAGCTCTCACGGAGGCGTTGCGACCCCACGTCGGCCAGGAGGCCGACGTGCGGGAGTTTGAGAACAAGGTCGCTAAGAAGATGATGCAAGCCGCCAAGAAGTTCAACAAGGACGAGCGCCGGAACTCCCACGGGTCGCCGTTCAAGGCGCAGGAGTTTGTGGAGGAGTTCTGCGACCATTGCCTAGGATCCCGACGGCACATTGATGCACAACCTGCATGCCTGGCCTTGTCCATCTTGGACCCCAGGATGGCAGGAGGGCGTGTATGTCACGCCAGGGCCCAGGATGGCCCTGGCCAGGCATGTTGGTGGTGTGTCGGTGCCCTCTGTCGGCGTTTACCCAACATACTAATACTATGTGTGCGTCGCCCCCCCCACCCCCCCAGGGGGCGGCGCGTGCACCGAGAAATCTTATAGTATATGCATCGTGGCGGGCGCTTTCTGGCCACACCGCTCGGGAAACGATCTACTACAAGATGGGTATACTATATGTTCGGGTCGGACGCGCGCTTCCAAGGAGGACACATGGTATTAGTATGTCCCTGTGCGTTCCACTCTGCGTCTCAGGAGCTCTCAGCGGCGTGATGTACGACAAGCCGTGGGCGGGCGAGGTCAACTACACCGGGCCGCTGCTGGCCCTCGCGCTGTACACGTTCGACGGCGCCAAGATCTTTCGCAGGACGGTCGGGCCCATGATCGAGAAGTTCATTGAGGCCTGGCTGGGGGACGCGACAAGTCGTGCGCTGCACCTCCCCGCTTCGCTTCTGGTCCGACCGACTCAGAGCAGGAAAAGGTACCCATCACGCCACCCTCCCCTCGTTTTCCTTTTCTGGCCTCCTCAGCGGCCCTCGTCGCCACTGCTGGATTCGCCTCGAAAATCTCGTCAGAACGCACCCCGGGAGAGGTCCGGGGAGTAGCAGTATTGGTACCTTTTGGTTCTCCCATGGTCCAGCCGACGCTTGTTCACGCGGTGCCGAGCCGTGGCTGGAAGGGCCCCGGTGGGGACGGGGCTCACTCCGCCGAGCTCGTGCGCAGTCGAGAGTCGATCCCACACGAAGTGCTCGGGGAGGCCGGGCCGCACGCAAAAAGTACGCGGTGCGGTTGGGAGCGCTGGCCTTGGAAGGTCGGGCCCCTCAGCGCTCCCTGCCCCTGAAGAGGCCAGCCGGCTCCAGCCAAGGGCCCGTGTTCAAGAAGACAGTTATCGGGTTGGGAGGATGAGGTTGGGAGAAATGAGGATATCATTACCCATAGGCGGACGATGTTTATCGTGCATTGCATCTGGATGCTATTGCTCATGCACTTCATCCTGCTAACCCCTACCTCCCAACACGGCAATGGTTCTCCTCACGGGTAGATCTCAGGGTTCGGGAATGAATTCCCGAATTCCCAGCAGGCAAGCATACACCACACAGGCCAGCTCTGGCTCACGCCAGTCTGGGCCCAGGAGAGTTACTTGCAGCCTCTTGGGCCATACCAGGGGGTGTGTCAGACACAAGCTCGGCCCTGGTCTCAAGCTAGGCCTGAGCTGGCCTGGTGGAGGGTGTACTAATCGTGACCTGTAATGTGTTCGGAAGGATGAAGATCATGTTCGTGCTCGGATGTTCGCAAACTGTCCATCAACGGTTCGGAACCATCTGTTCGCGAACTCCAAGGCCCCCAAGGGCCTTGTCCACGGCCGCTCGGTTGAAAGGAAACAGAAATGTTCAACACGAGCGGTTCGCAAACCAGTCGGGAACGCATGTTCGCAAACGATGTTCGGGTCAGCCCTCGGTGGTGCACATATGATGTTGCCGATGTGGAGATACTGCGCAGGGTTTTCCTGTCCTGGTGATTCCTTATCCACCGTCCCCAGTTGTAGCCCCACGAGTGGGCCATGAGCAAGGCAGGTGGGCTTAAGGGAAGCCTGTCTTATCTGCGACAGCTGCCATTTGCCCATCCCCCCCTCGAGTTTCCTTCGGATTTCGAGCAAACCTGGAGGAGGGGATCTTCAAGTTCCGCGAGGAGGAACGCATCCAGAGGGTCATGGAAGAGGCGATAGACAGTGCGGCAGTGAAGGAGACGCACAAGAAGAAGGCCCTCAAGCACCTCGGCATCGCGTACGACGAGGCGCACTTCAAGGCTCCCTACAGCAAGGTGACGGGCGAAACGCCCGAGATGGGCCATCTCAAGGCGTTCGTCAAGGGCTGGATGGCGGATTTCGCTGAGCGCGCGTGGGACATTCTGGAGAACGGCGTAGGACTGGGGATCACCAGCTATCCACCTGTACCGACCTCGGCCAATCTAATCCTGGGCCCAACATCGTTGTATGCTCAAGGGAGGTGCATCCACCCACCGATCTTTGGCTGGGGCAGACCTGATCAGGATCGGTAAAATCTATTGGCCGTCCACTGGTAGTGATTATAATGTTAGCCAGCGTTCATCCCAAACAGTGCGTAATTGCAGTGTGGAGGTGGAAGTTCTGCGTTGTAAGCTGTGTTGTGTGAGCTGTGGAGGTGAACACTGCGGTGGAAGCAATGTGGTGCAAGCTCTGCTGTGTCAACCAGGCGGTGTAAACTCGAGGTGGAAGCCATGGGGTGTAAACTGCGTGAGGTTTTGTGTGTGAGCTATGAGGTGAAAACTACGTCGTCGCAAGCTCAGAGCACGGGGCGCCCACGAGACGCCCACGAGGTAGCACCGGCGGCAACGTGGCGCAAACCCGACATAACCCCCGAGCGCGAGGCGCCCACGAGGCGGCACAGGCGGCAACGTGGCGCACACCCCAAGCGCGGGGCGCCCACGAGGTGGCACGGGCGGCAGCGTGGCGCAAACCCGACACACTTCCCCAGGCTCGGGGCGCCCACGAGGCGTCACGGGCGGCAGCGTGGGGAAAGCCGGGAAAGCCCGACATGACCAACCAATTATTGTAGTGGCCTCTGGCCGGTGCCGCCGATCCGGGGCGCTCCCGATGGTGCTCGGGTTCGCTTGGAGGCCGTCTTCGGGCCCTCTTGGGGCCGTCGAAGGAGGAGGCCTCTTGAGGGGGTCGTTGAGCCTCTTGGGGGCTTCTTGGAAGACGTTTTGGCTGTCTTAGTGCGTTCCTGGCCCGTCGGGCGCCGTCGGAATCCGTCTTGGGCGTCTCGCTGTGCAGTCTGGGAGCACTCTGGGGGCGCTTCAGGGCCGTCTTGGAGGCTATCTTGGGGCCCTATAGGGCCGTCTTGGGAGCCTTTTGGGGTCGTCTTAGGAGCCTCTTGGGCCGTCATAGGGCCGTCTTGGAGCCCTTGGGGGCGATCTTTGGGGCCTCCTTCAAAAGCATTTGGAGAATCAATGATTTGTGCCTCTTCGGGCCTTTTTTGGAGGGCATCCTGAGCCATCTTGGGTGCATCTCGAGCCGTCTGGGAAATATCTGGCGGCCATCTCGGGCTATCTGGCCCCTGGGGTGGGAATTTGGTGGATTTTCATATGTCCCAGCCCCACCCAGAAAACTGAGCACAGGCGCCCCCCCGCCCTTCCCCCCTTCCCCGGCAGAACCAGTGCGGCACCCCCTCCCAGCAGAGCTGAAGCTCGGACTGTAGACTGTAGCGCAGCCGCTTTGATGCTCACACGCCGGATCGGCGGACTTTAGAACGCCAGGTAAGAACCCCGCAGTGCAGGCACTGTTTGGGGAATGCGGGTGAACATAGAAGAGAAATTTGCTTTCCCCAAGGCTGCCGCTTGCATCGTTGCCTTCTCGGCCCGATCCTTCACCGAGCGCATTCCACTACTTGCTAAGTGCCTACTTGCAAACGTGCAACACACACACACACACACACACACACACACACACACACACACACACACACACACACACACACACACACACACACACACACACACACACACACGCGCACGCACGCGCGCGCGCGCGCACGCACGCACGCACGCACGCACGCACGCACGCACGCACGCACGCACGCACGCACGCACGCACGCACGCACACGCACGCACGCACGCACGCACGCACGCACGCACGCACGCACGCACGCACGCACGCACGCACGCACGCACGCACGCACGCACGCACGCACGCACGCACGCACGCGCACGCACGCACGCACGCACGCACGCACGCACGCACGCACGCACGCACGCACGCACGCACGCACGCACGCACGCACGCACCACGCACGCACGCACCCACACCACCCACCCGCACGCACGCGCACGCACGCACGCACGCACGCACGCACGCACGCACGCACACACACACACACACTCACACACTCGCACACATATGTGATGCTCGATGTAAGTCAGCTTGTTTGCCTCGACGCCATGGATCCAGGCCATTTGCGAGCACCTACTTTGCGAGTAGTGGAACGCGCTTGTCGGACCATTCGCCGCGCGGACTGGCGCGCGCCGTGTGATTCTCGTGCTGCAGCTCGGGCGTCCAAGGGTGCTTGTGCACCATCACCTTGCGTTCTCCGTGCGCGTCGAGGAACAGCGGAGCACACTCATACAAGACATACAGTGGAGGCCCATGCCAAGAAGCACCCTGCCTGCCTCGAGGGTGCCCTGGGTTTCTTGCTTGTCGATGGTTTTGCGATGGAAGGCGTGGCGTTCCCACACCACAAATCGATGGAAGTCCTGGGGTCTCAGAGTTGGTTTTCTAGTGAAAGGTTTCTTGTGGACTGACCTCCACTGTAAGGATATCACGTGGCGGATCGCGGAAACCCTGAAGCCAAGAACGTCTTCATCTCTCGGGGGCGCATGTTTTACTTCCGTCGACCTTCCGCTGCCCCTCCGCCGCCTTCCGCCGCGGAAGAGATGCCAACTCCTTCGATCCTCGAAGGCAAGGCCCTTCTTGGAACGCCTCATGTAGGAGGTCGGCGCGGATTTCTCCGGTCGTCGCAGAATCTCAACGACGGGCGCATGGTAACTGGACGCATTTACCACGAATGGGCTTCCTTGCCTCCCCAACCCCGCACACACACACCCACACACATACACACACACACACACCCACACCCACATCCCTGTTCCTTATTACTATTTACTCCCACCTACTTCGTATTCCGGCCGATAGCAACCCGATCCGGGACCTCCCATCCGGACTGTAAAAAATCAAAACAAAGTGGCCGTTTTTCTTCTCAACATAGTCTTTCTTGTCGTCGACGATACGAAAAGCGTGGCAGGAGTGGGACGCGGCGCACATCGCGCGCGGCAGTCAATCTGGGCCCGCCCATCCTGACTGTAAAAAATCAATACAAAGTCTTCGTTTATTCCGCTCAGCATGGCCTGCCTTGTCGCCGACGGTGCGAAATATGCGGCAGCAATGGGACGCGGCGCACATATGGGACGCGGCGCACATCGCGCGCGGCCGTCAATCCGGGCCCGCCCATCCTGATTGTTAAAATCAATACAAAGTCTCCGTTTTTACCTCTCAGCATGGCCTGCATTGTCGCCGACGGTGCGAAATATGTGGCAGGAATGGGATGCGGCGCACATCGCGCGCGGACGTCCATGCGGGCTGCGGCCCCTCCCATCCTGACTGTAAAAAACAATACAGAGTTGCCGTTTTTCCTATCATCATGGCCTGTCTTGTCGTCGACGATGCGAAATGCGTGGCAGGAATGGGGCGCGGCGCACATCGCGCGCGGACTTCTGGGGCAACCCCAAGGCGGGAGGGGCCACCTTACTTGTCAGAAACAATGCCATGCTGATTTTCCCTGCCCACATAGCTGTTCTGGTCGTCCACCCCGCAAAAGTGCATGGCAAGAATTGGGCGCGGCACACCCCCGTCCCCCCCCGCTCGAAGTGAATGAAATGACCTTCCCGCTTGGGCGCCGAGCAAAATTTTCTCAAAGTTGCGCTCCCGCTTTGGCTCGGCGCACGTTTTTAGCTCGCCAATTCATTGGGCGCCAGGGCGTTCCAGGAGGCCCTGGGGTGACGAATGCCTGGGAGGTTTTTGCTTGTTCAAGCTCTTGCAGGGCCTCCTGAGGCTCCCCGCGGTTTCTTGGCGCTACGGCCGTCTGGAGACCATCTTGGGCGTCTTGGAACGATCTTTCGGCGACTCAGGGCCCCTCGGATCGTCTCGGGGGCGTCTCGGCTCTCTTGGGGCGTTCTTGGGGCGCTCTGGGACCTGGAAGTCAGCGCCGAAGAAGGAAACCATCGCTGGGACCGACGTGCCCAGGACCTGCTCGGGGTTCTTGTCGTCCGGGGGCCCCCAGGGGCCGCCCCGCGCGCGCAAACTAGAAAATTGTTAACTAGTTACCAGAGATCTTAGCACGCCTCTGGCCCGTTGGGCTGGCCCGGGACCTGCTCGGGGTATTTTCGTCCGGGGGCCCCCAGGGGTCGCCCCGCGAGCGCGAACTAGAAGATTGTTAACTAGTTACCGGAGATCTTTGCACGCCTCTGGCCCGTTGGGCCGGCGAATTTGTCACCAGAGGGCGGAACGTGTCCCTTGTTCTTTTCAACATGGCCAGTCTTGTCGTCGACGATGCGAAATGCGTGGCGGGAATGGGACGCGGCGCATATCCTGCGCGGACGTCAATGCGGTGTCCTGGGGTATCCTCCACTCGCACTGAAATGCCCGCGCAGCCCGCAGTTGTGCCATCACTGTTTCTTATGTTGTGGGAGGGCGGGTGGGAATGGGATGTTGTGGGAGGGCGGGTGGGAATGGGCAGGCCATGCTTGACTCGCTCGAGCTGGCTAGCTTGACCCACACCCACACCCACACCGACACCCACACCCACACGCACACGCGCACACATGCACCCGCACACGCACACGCACACGCACACGCACACGCACACGCCTTCGCACGCGCACGCGCACACGCACACACAAATACACACATACACACAAACACACACACACACAAGCACACACACACACACCTTCGCTGGCCAGCGGAGCGCGCTGGGGGAAGCGATCAGACCCAAAAAATCCTCGCGGACGTCCGATAGTTTATGCTTCTTCCATTGCCAGTTCCTGTGATGGTGCGCGGCCACTATAGCTGGCGCTCCTCACATAGGACAGGGTGTGGGCAGCTCAAGGGACGAGATGGTCTTGTTCATGACCGTCCTTTTCCAAGCGCTCGCGGACGGCAAGGATCCCGGCTGAATGAGAGCATGAGCAGCGGGCGGGGCGGGTCCACGCTGGCAGCACTGGGGAGGAAGGAAGATGCGGTGGGAGGATGAGAAGGTCACGGCCACGATGGCGCAGCCCGTCGTTCGCCGCAGAGCGAGAAGCGGAGTGGGCGCCTCTGCCCGTCCCCACCGCCCGCCAGATCGATGCCCAATCCTTTCCCCAGGAGGGGTGAGAGGGAGACGTGACAAGGAACAGGAACACGAACAGGTTTTCACACGAAGTGGTTCACAAAAGGTTTCCTCCCGCGAGCGAGAAGTTCTGGACCGCAGCGACGAATTGCGATGCCACTTTCACCTTCGGCTTTTTCCATTAGCGACACCACGCCGTAGACGACCAAAAGAGGAATACCATTGGCCGAGACTTGCGACAGAAATTCCATTCACCCGATTTCCAGCAACCGTAACGCCGATTCACGTGAAATGCAAACATTGAGGCCTGGAACCAGCCCCGCGGCCGCGGGCTATGCCTGCTTGGTCGTGTAGGACCACGGCAGGGGAACCCAAAGGAGTGCAACGACGTGCACGGAAGCCCATGGGTGGCCAGCCCGCCTCGCAGACCGCCTGGACGCGCGCCAGCGGAGCCTGGCAGCTGCGGCGTCGTGCCCCTCCGGAGCAAGCCCAAGAACCGACCCAACCCAACAAGGCGTTGACGTACACCCAGGGGTGGGCGGCCAGTGCCAGGGCAGTGCCCTCGTGGCTCCTCCCCAGCCCTTGGGACAGACGTCTAACATGATGCCCAGGGAGGCACCAGCTCTCCAATCCGACAGAGACAAAACCAGCAGCCCAACATCAAGAGTAATGCACTTCCCACCGCCAGTGGTGGACGCAAGAGGCTGTAACACATGCACTTGGTAGACATCCTGGCGACGTAAGGCAACCGCTCCAACCAACGCCGGCGCAACTTGTGTTCTCTTTGCTCCGGTTGTCCGCCAGCTCAGCACGATGTCCTGCTCTGCCGCCAGGAGAGGGGGCCCAAACGGTGCGCCGCCGCCGAGCTCCAGGCCTGCCTATCCCCCGTCACCAGCCGCCGCGAGAAGGCGAACGGCTTGATTCAAGACATCGGAGGCAGCCAACAAGCTTGCGACGGAGACGCTTCGAGCCCATGCTGGAGAGCAGATGGGATGATGAAGAGGACGATGATGATGCTGATGCTGATGCTGATGCTGATGCTGATGCTGATGCTGATGCTGAGGAGGAGGAGGAGGAGGAGGAGGAGGAGGAGGAGGAGGCGGATGAGCAGGGAGGTGGGCGGATGAGTAGAGGGTGGAGGAGAGGGATGAGTTAGATGGGCGGAGGTGGCGGCGGACGGGAGGGTCGCTTTGAGGCGTGAGCAAATGTGTGATACCATGTTGCGCGTGTCTGTCAGCTTGCGCAGTCATAGCCAAGCAGCCAGGCCAACCAACAATGGATAAGTGTGTCCAAGTATCTATGCGGGCTGAGTGGGTTCGGATGGTTAAGGCATGTATATTTGTTGAGAATGTCATGAAGACTTGGACGGTCAGGGATCGTAGTGGGTCGTGCGTGTGGGAGTTTCAACGAAATACGTTCACACTTCGATGTGCGAGTATATATTTATACATACATATATATATATATGTGTATACATTTATGTATATATGTATCTATATATAATTATATACATATATATATGTATATATATATGTCGGAGGTGAGGGGTGAGATCGAAGTGGAACGGAGAGCCCCCCTACCGGGAAATCGATTTCTGTTTCGTGTTCGTGCTTGCCGTGCGTGCGGGCGTGGCGAAGCTGCGTGGGCGGGCGAGAGAAAGTCTCCTGTGGCTGAGCGCGGCCGGACCAAATGTTTCCCTTCCGGGCGGCCGGTGGCGCGCGGTGTCCCGCCGGTGTCCCGCTGGTGTCCCGTCGGTTCTCCTGTGCCTGAGGCGCGGCCGGACCAAATGTTTCCCATCCGGGCGGCCGGTGGCGCGCGGTGTCCCGCCGGTGTCCCGCTGGTGTCCCGTGTGGCTGAGGCGCGGCCGGACCAAATGTTTCTCTTCCGGGCGGCCGGTGCGGCGCGGTGTCCCGCCGGTGTCCCGCCAGTGTCCCGTCGGTGTCCCGTCGGTGTCCCGATGATGATGATGTTGATGATGATTATGATGATTATGATGATGATGGTCATGATGATGATGATGATGGTGATGATGATGATGTTGATGATGGCGATGATGATGATGATGATGATGATGATGATGATGATGATGATGATGATGATGATGATGATGATGATGATGACTTCGAATGTGAGATCGATTGTGATATCGATACTGAGACCGAATGTGAGATCGATTGTGAGATCGATAGTGAGATCGATTGTGAGATCGATAGTGAGACCGAATGTGAAACCAAATGTGAAATCGATTTTGAGATTGATTGTGAGATCGATAGTGAGATCGATAGTGAGACCGAATGTGAGACCGAATGTGAGATCGACTGAGATCGATTGTGAGATCGATAGCGAGATCGACAGTGAGACCGAATGTAAGACCGAATGTGAGATCGATTGTGAGATCGATTGTGAGATCGATAGTGAGATCGACAGTGAGACCGAATGTGAGACCGAATGTGAGATCGATTGTGAGATCGATTTTGAGATCGATTGCGAGATCGATAGTAGTGATATCGATAGTGAGATCGAATGTGAGATCGAATGTGAGATCGATTGTGAGATCGATAGCGAGATCGATTGAGTGAGACGTTGGTTCCCCCTCCCCCTCACCTTCTTATCACCTGCAGGGTGGTCGTATAGGTATATATATATATATATGTCTATGGGTTGAGTGATTGATGGGGGTCCAGAGAGGTTAGGTGTTTAAGAGCCTGCATCTTTTTCTTGAGACGTGGAAGCGCGCTGCCCGAGATGCTCATTTGGGTTGGTAGATTTGTTTACTTCATGATTCCTCCACACAGCGCCTGCATTTGGGGACCATTATTCCGATTACTCGGACATTTGATAGGTCCGCCGAGGTTTCGCCACGTTGCCGCTCGTTGCCGCCGCGTTGCCGCCCACCACGCTTGGGGGGTCCGCCGAGGTTTCGTCACGTTGCCGGCCGTTGCCGCCGCGTTGGCGCCCACCGCGCTTGTGGGACTCGTTCGCCACGTTGCCGCCGCGTTGCCGCCTCGTTGCCGCCCGGTCCGCCGAGGTTTCGCCACGTTACCGCCCGTTGCCGCCCACCTCGCTTGGGGCCTCCGCCGAGGCTTCTCCATGGAGCCGCCCATTGCCACCTCTCTGACGCCCACCGCGCATAGCTTACACCACAGCCTCGTTACCGCCCGTGCCGCTCTGTTGCGCTTTGACTCGTTGCCGTCTCGCTGCCGCCTTACCACGTACCCTGCACCACGTAGCCTGCACCACATAACTAACATCACACAGCTTGCACCACATAGCTTGCACAACATAGCTTCCACCTCCTCAGTGCACCAACTTGCTGCTCGGGGTCCACGCTGGCGAGCACGAACACAGACACACACACACACACACGCACACACTAATAACATGCTATAACTTATATTCCTTGTAACAACTGCTGCACGCAATCGAAAGGGAGGGCGATAAGTACGGCATGGTACTGGACACATCTGAATTTGAAGCTTTGTGCGCAAGGGGGCACGATGCAACTTCTGTTTAGTTTGGCAGCAGGTGCCATCGCACAGTGAGGCTGAGTGACAAAGGGGACCCTGTCAGAGAGGTGAACAAGAGGGTTCCTATGACTTTGTGACCTGAGACAATACGGGAGTGCTTCAAGCATGCTGATTGCGGCGTGAGGCTCAGCGAGGGTATATATATATATATATATATATCTATACACATGTATCAGAATGAGGGGGCCGAACGGTCATTCATTCTCCCTGGGTGCGTGGTTGAAGTGGGGATCCTTGGTGGGGAGTTTCCTTGTTGCGTTGTTGTTGTCGTTGTTGTCGTTGTTGTCGTTGTTGTCGTTGTTGTTGTTGCTGTTGCTATTGCTGTTGCTGTTGTTGTTGTTGTTGTTGTTGTTGTTGTTGCTGTTGCTTGTTGTCGTCGTCCCACCCGCGACCCACCCCGCGACCCACCCGCGACTCGCTCGCGACCCACCCCGCGACCAACCCCGCGACCAACCCCGCGACCCACTCGCGACCCACCCTCGACCCACCCGCGACCCACCCCGCGACCCACCCGCAACCCACCTGCGACCCACCCCGCGACCCAGCCCGCGACCCAACCGCGACCCACCCCGCGACCCACCCGCGACCCGCCCGCGACCCACCCGCGACCCACCCCGCGACCCACCCACTACCCACTCAGTGTACAAAATGCGAAATTCGCATACACAGTGTATAATCGGCGCTTGCGGCGGGCTGCCTTGCATCGGTTTAGGAGAGCGCCCGCGACCACAACGCTTTCATCCCACAGCGTGCTAAAATCTGCGCTTGCGGCGGGCAGGCTTGCATTGTTGTGGGGGGCATCGCCCTCGCGAGCACTTCCCGCGTCCCACCAGCGATCTGCTCTGACAATCAGAGTGAGGGGGCCAAGCGGTCAGTCACTGTCCCTGGGTGCGTGGCTGAAGTGGGGATCCACGGCGAGGGTTCTGCTTGTTTTGTTGCGTCGTCCCCCCCGCGACCCCACCCGCGACCCACCCCGCGACCCACCCCGCGACCCACCCGCGACCCGCCCCGCGACCCACCCGCGACCCACCCACGACCCACCCCGCGACCCGCTCGCGACCCATCCGCGACCCACCCGCGACCAACCCGCGACACACCCGCAACCCATCCGCGACCCTGTCCGCGACCCACCCGCGATCCGCGACCCACCCCGCGACCCACCCCGCGGCCCACCCGCGGCCCACCCGCGACCCACCCCGCGACCCGCTCGCGACCCGCTCGCGACCCACCCGCGACCCACCCCGCGACCCACCCCGCGACCCACCCGCGACCCACCCACGACCCGGCCCGCGACCCATCGCGACCCACCGTCGATTCACCCCCGCGACCCACCTGCGACCCAACCCGTGACCCAACCACATTGTTTGAGTAAAAAATATGCGAATGCGGCGGGTTCGTTGTACAGCTTGAAAAATTATGCGCCTGCGGCGGGCTTCTTCAAAGCCTCGCAGACTGCCGCCGTCCCCGCCGCCCCCTCACTCTTATCCGCAACTGCGGGGTGCTGCGTGTATATGTCGCCGTAGTTTGCTCTAAACAGACTCTGCGGCTTAGAGTCTGCGCAGGTAAACTATGCGCTTGCCTGCTAGGCGCGCTTCAGCTGAACGACCTGAGGCAAAGATGAAAGCTCCAGACAACAAATCTCAGCAGGGTAAGCACGACTGAGTTTGTCTTCCGTCGCGCTAAGGATGTAATCAACGGACGGGGCGATAGAGCGAAGGCCTATGACCGAGGATTCCGGCCGATCAAGGAGATCATACCCACCAGCGGGTATGAGGTTGATCGCCGTTGCAGGACCCACTGCTTCCATCGCAGACTGTTGACACGGATTGCCCTGGCCAGTTCAGCTTGCCAGTCCAGCGGGCCCAGCCAACCACAAGCCAACCAGGCAACCTGGCACCCAGCTGACCCGTCAGCCAACCGACCACGCATCCAGCCCGCCCACCCACCCCCGCCGCCTGCTCTCCGCCACCGCCGAGAGGGGGGCAGTGCTTCCTACGAGCGAAAACGCTATGGAGGACGATCAACGGAGAGGAAGCATGTTGCCAAATACTTGCCAGATATCTAAAACATGGATTCAACATGTTCTTGACATATCAAACATGTTTAAAACATGTCTCCCACATGCTAAACAGATTTGGAATTCAATTATAGGACTGTCAGGGTGTCCATTGTCGTGGCATCCACAACGAAAACGAGAAACCCACCCTCCCGGGTCCAGGCGGGACATCGGGGGGAGGGTACATCGCGCCGTGCTGTAGGGGATCCGACTTCGCGCCGCGGGGTATCCGAGACAGTTCGGAGCGGGGCCTCGAGCGTGACACCGTCGTCAGTTTTTGGACCTTCACCGGGCCCACTGTTTCCACGGAAGGGCTCCCGTCCCTGAAACTGTCGTCATTTTGAGGCCCCGTGTGGACTGGCCAGAGGGCCTGCCAGGACGGTCAGGCGAAGGCAAATCGCATCGAACAGCAACGCAGGAAACTGCTCCCTGAAGCGGGTTCTCTCGGGTGGCCCTCGACCAGAGGGCCCAGGAGGCGCCACGAGGCCGCAGGAGGGCCCAGGACATCCCAGGATGGCCCACGGAGCTCCAGAGGCCCCAGAAGGTCCCAGGAAGCTCCAGGAACCTCTAAGAGGCAGCACGACGCCGCTCCACAGGATAAGCTGCATCCAGTTGGTTTCTACCGCCGCGAGGGGCGTTACAGGGTACTAGTACGTCCCTCTGCGTCTCATTCGGGATTCTCACCTCGCCTTCGTCGAGGACTTGGATGGGTCACTCGAGGTTTCGGCTGGTGCCCGCTCGGGGGCCGGCGCCAAGGGGGGGGGGGTAACCCGAAGTCTCGGCTGGTGCCCGGTTGGTGCCTGGTCGTGGGCGCTTCGTGGGCCCCGTTGGCAGCCATTGCCGCTCCTCGCTTCCCCCTCCTCCTCCGCCGCCTCCTCAGGCCCTCTTCCCGCTTCCTCCACCTCCTCCTCCTCCTCCTCCTCCTCCTCCTCCTCCTCCTCTTCCTCCCCCTCCTCCCCCTCCTCCCCCTCCTTCTTCTCCTCGGTCTCCTCCCCCAACCCTCCTCCCCCTCCTCCCCTCTTCCTTCTCCTCCTCCTCCTCCTCCTCCTCCTCCTCCTTCTCCTCCTCCTCCTCCTCCTCCTCCTCCTCCTCCCCGACGACGACGACGACGACAGCTGGTAGGACCCCTGCCTGCCCCACGACCTGGTCTCGGCCGCGGGTGCGGTGCCGCCGAGCCCCTGGTCGTACGTCGCCGAGGTCGCGGAGGCGGTGTTCCGGGAGATGGACGAGCGGGCGGAGCAGTCGAGGCAGAAGAAGGCGAGGATCGCCACCGTTTTTGTTCCCCGTCTGCTGCTCGATTTGAGGGCGTTGCTTTGCAGACCCAGGCAACTTCCCGCATTGTACGGCATTTCCCGCGTTGCATTTGTACGGCATTCCCGCCCCCCCTCCCCCGCCGCCTTTTCAAATAGCGCTGGGCCGAATGAGCGTGCAAGGGAGGCTCGACCTGCGTGAAGTCCAGATTTCCTTTCAAGCCTCGCCACGCCCCTCCGCCCTCCATGCAAGTAAAGTGGCCGGAACCTAAACAATAAAACGCCCCGCTGCGGCGCTTCTGCTGCGCAGTCAAAGTCTTGAGCGTCTTCTTCTTCGCGCCTCCGAGCGCTCCCGGACGTTTTTCTCAGCGCCCCTGGGCGGTTGTGCGCGCTTCCGGGCGCGTGCTGCCCGCTCGCTGCCCCTTCTTCCGCTCTTAGGGTTAAGTCGGGCCTGCCCCTCAACAGGGGGAATATTCAGAAATAGTCAAAAAATAGTCTGGGGATCATTTTTTGAGGTCTTTGACCATTTTGGAGCATTTTTTGCGTACTTTTCATTTCTCGTCGAAAATATCCCCCTGTAGGGGGACGGGCCCGACGTAGTCCTAGGGACCTCCCGGGAGCTCCCGGGAGGCGCCTTTGCGGAGGCCTCCGGCGCCCTCGCTCGGGGGGTCTCGTCCCGCGCTCTCTCCTCGCGCCCCCCCCCCCCCCGCGGCGCCAGGCCTCTCCGCGGAGCACGGGGGGCGCCCGCCGGGGGCCCCCCGCGTGCGGCGGGTCGGGGGCGGCGCGCGTGGGGAGGCCCATTCTCTCCGTGGGGCTGCGGGGGCTTCGGCTGCTGGGGCGCATCTCTCTTTTTTTGCAGCTCGGCCTGAAGTCGGGCGTGTCCCTCTGCAGGGGGAAGATACAAAAATAGTTCAAAGATGCTCTGGGGTACGATTCTGCTCTTATGTTTCGATCCTTCTGGGATCTGTTGTGGCTCTTTTCTGTTTTTCGTACAAAGCCCGCCTGTAGGAGGACAGTCCCGAGCTAAGCTTAGCTGCCCTGATACGCCCGCGTTGGAGCACAACACGCACCGTGTTCAAAACCTGCGTGCCCGCACGCTGCGTGGTAGTGGCTCGGCACGGGTCGGTCCACGTTTTAGCGAGCGTGTCGCGCCGAGCGTGCGTTTTGAACCTCCGTGTGGAGCGCCGTGTCAACACGCTGCGTGTTACGTGTTGCGTATCGGGGCAGCTAAGCTCTGCAGACTTCGCTCGGCAACTGGAACATCTGCAGCTCCAGTGGCGGGTGGTGTTTCAATCCAAGGCCGTTGGGATGATGTCGGGGTGGTCTGGTGAATACTTCTTTTAACCTTTTCCCGGGGAAACAGCGAAAAAGCGTATACACCAGGGTCCCGTATACACAAGGATCCGCTTCCTCGTGCAAGCGCCATTGCAGCGCCGGAAACAGCGTCAGTGTACAGAGTGTGTTGCCATATTTGCCCCCAGATCTCCAAGATGCGGTCTTTGTTCGATCCAGCCTTGCGCTTGCTCCCTGAGCTCGGCCTCGGGGCCCCTCTGCAAGGGTCCGGGGGCCATCGGAAGGAGAGCGTTTTTGGCGCTGGGCTCGGGCAACTTGGCACTTGCACGCCATATTTCCCTTCCCCGCCCCAGAGCTCATGTCGAGTCCTCCGGCTCGATTCGATTCGATTTCGATGGACTCCGATTCCGATTCGATTCGATTTTGGATTTCGATGTGGATTCTGATGTCTCAATGGAGGTCTACCAGCCTGCCGATTTCCACCGATTCGACTTCGCCCGAGCCGGCTGCGAATTTCCGCCGATCCGATTTATTTCGATCGCCGATCTACCTTGTCGATTCGATTCTGGGCTCTCCGGCCCCCATCGCCCGCCGCCCTTCAGAACGGGGTGGGAGAGGCGAGCAGGCGAGTCCCGCCTTTTTTGCATGGAGTTCCGAATCCCGTGGGGTCGGGCCTCGCCCCCCCCCGCTCCCCGTCCTCCACACTCCCCCCAGGGTTAAATTGTAATTGTGCCGGAGCCTGACGAGAAACGCCCTCGGAAGTTTCCCCAGGGAATGGGTCGAGACGACCACTTGGGGCCGCTCATGGAATCACATCGGCGGCTGTCTCCGCACGGTGCCCCCGTCGCCACGTCTGGGCTTGCCTCGAGATCCTGGTCGGGGAGCGTTGGGGGCCGGGTGGTCCTGATCGACATCCTGCTCCTGATCGATCCTGCTCCTGATCGGGACGAGATTTCGATCCTGCTCGAGATCCTTGTTTCCCACGCGCTGAGAGAAGCAGGCTGCGTAAGGCTTCTCGCCGCTTTCGCCCTCTGGGGCCCTCGCTGGTCCACGGGGCCGCAGAAAACGGCGTCGTCGGATCTGCGGGAAGCGGCGGGAAGCGCAGGCGAAGCTCATGGCGGAGGGGCTGTGGGAGGAGGGGCCGTGGTCCATGGGCAAGAACAAGAAGTGAGCGGCAGCGGCATTTGCTCTTCCTCCCCCTCCTTGACGCCCTGCGCGGCGTTCCTCGTCCAGGGGGAGGAGGAGGAGGAGGAGGAGGAGGAGGAGGAGGAGGAGGAGAAGGAGGAAAAGGAGAAGGAGAAGGAGAAGGAGAAGGAGAAGGAGAATGAGAAGGAGACGGAGAAGGAGGAATGATAATAACAATAATAATAATAAGGGGGATGATTAATAATGAAGATAATAATCGTAAGACTAAGAAGAAGGCGAATATTATTAATAATAAAAAGAAGAAGAATTATTGTAATAATAATACGAATCATAATACTAATCATAATAATACGTAGAATAAGAAGGAGACGACAACGACGAATATTAACCATATTATGAATAAGACGAAGAAGAGGAAGAGGAAGAGCAGGAGGAGGAGGAGGGGTGGGGGAGGAGGTGGAGGAGGAGGAAGAGGAGGAGGAAGAGGAAGAGGAGGAGGAGGAGGAGGAGGAGGAGGAGGAGGAGGAGGAGGAGGAGTGAGCCGCGGGATGAGGAGGACGAGGAGCAGCAGCCAGTGGTAGCACCGCCTGGGCAACACACATCAGCAGGAGGAGGATGATGATGATGAGGAGGGGGAGGAGGAGGAGGAGGAGGAGGAGGAGGAGGAGGAGGAGGAGGAGGAGCAGGAGAGGGAGCAGGAGCAGGAGCAGGAGAAGGAGGAGCAGCAAGATGACGGCCTCGGCGCCGCGCAGAAGCGGGTGGGGGCGACCTTGTCGGGAGGGAGGGGGCCTCATCAGAGGCCCTCCCGCACTCCGGAGATCCCCTCTTAGAGGCCGCCCGGAACCCACTCTGACTCTGAGAAGGCCCCTTGCCTGCCTCTCGGAAGGCCAGGCCCCTCTGGCCCCGCTCACCCTCCCGGGCGCGCCGCTGGGGGGACACTGTGGGCCCAGAGTTTTGGTGCGGTGCTTTTGGCTTGTGCGTGGCCGCTGGATCTCTGGATCGCGACCCCCCCTCCCCGGGGATGGTTTTTCAGCCCGTGCCTTTTTGTGATGCTCCCCGGGTCGGGAACGGGCCCCTGGGGCTCGGAGTGGGCCTCCAGACGCCGAGCGTACAACCAAATGTTTTGCTTGTGTGTACACGATTTCGGAGGTCCGGGTCCGGGTCATCCGGGGGTCTCCAGAGGTCCTTCAGAGGCCCCACACGCGTCGAACATCTCGAGCAGGAAGAGGAGCAGGCGGAGGAGGAGGATGAGGAGGAGGAGGAGGAGGAGGAGGAGGAGGAGGAGGAGAAGGAGTGCAAACCCAAGAGTCATCAACGATGTTGGCATAAACCCTCCCTCCAAGCTCCCATTTCATAGGCCCTATACGAGGGTTCATTTCCACTGAGGGAACTGCCTCGATGGAAGACGTCCGTTTGAAGACCCTGAAACATGCCAAATAATCGTTTTCGGGGTTCCAACGCCACGGATCAACCGGACTGTTGCGTCTTGGCGAACCTGAATCGTGCCAGAACGCCATTCCTGGGCCTTCTGCACCTTGAATAAACGTAAGCGTTGCGCCCCCATCCATAACTCTGAATCTGTCCAAAACGTCATTCTTTGTACGCTGACCATGGGGATCCATGGAACACTTGCTACGTTTAAGACGGATGCGCGCGGCGCTTAGGCGAGAGACACATATTGAAACGGAAACGCCTTCGACCTGTGAAACTCTTACAAGTTGTTAACACGAGTGTGTGCGACGCTAAAGCGAGAGCCACATTTTGAAAACGGGTCGCCCTCAACTCGTGTTTGTTATATAAAAAACGAATGTGCGCGGCGCTCGGGCGGGAGCTACATTTTGAAGACGGGTCGCTCTCAATCTTTGAAGCTCCTACAGTTTTTGGAAAACGAATGTGCGCGGCGCTGGGGCGAGAGCCACATCCTGAAAAACGACCAGCCCTCCATCCGTGAAGCTGCTGCCAAGGCTCAAGCTTTAGGGTCATAAGTGGTGCGGAATTCTCAGGCGAAGCGCCCGGCCCGCCCTTTCGACCTGGCTCGAGGTGCGACAGGGCGAAGGCATGTATGAAGAAGAGGAGGGGAGGAGGAGGATGAGGAGGCCCTGCAAATTTCAGCTAGCTTCAAGAAGCCTACCCCCAATAGACCACCATGTAATCTGCCATTTCGTCGAATGGTTCGCTTTGTAAAATATTTGGTTTACATGCGTCTGGCGCGCAATGGGGAACGGGAGGCGAACTATGGCCACGCAGTTTGAATTAGGTGTCCAGTGAGATCCCTCTCTCCCAAAGGACCGCCCTTCCATCTGGGCCAATGCTGCGGAAGGTTAAGCAAGTGGGCAGGGCCGTCGAGGAAGTCTCAGCGAGAGCCACATTGTTTAACTGAGCCGCCTCCGTTCCGCGAAATGCTGCATGCGTCGAAGTTCTGATTTTTTGAAGTTCGAGGACGTCTCAAGCGACAGTCCCACTTGAAAAGAGCAGTTGTCCACCCTTCTAGCTGTTGCAAACTTTTGCCACGAATGCCTGCGGCGCTAAGGTCGGGGCCCCATCTTGAAAACGTATGGTCCTCCATCACTCCAGCTGTTGCGAGACTTGAGCATGCATGTGCACGTTGCGTAGACGATAACCCCATTTTGAACAATATGCATAATCGATCCCTGAAGCTGTGGCTATAAATTACGGCGAATGTGCTCGGCTGTTAAAGGCGAGGACACCAGTTTGAAAACGACCCCGCCTCCACGCTTGAAGCTATCGCAACATCTTAGAGGGAATGTGCGCGACGCCAAGATGAGAGGCACACGTTGAAACATAGCGGTCCTCCACTTTCGAAGTTGCTGCAAACGTTGAAGAAACATGCTCGTTGGTCTAGGGCCAGAGCTTCATTTTGAAGGCGGCCCGCCTCCCATCCTTAAAGCTGGAGCAAACTGTTAGACGATTGTGAACGACGCTCACGCGAGAGCTGCATTGAAAACAGCCCGCCATCCTTCCGCGAAGCTGGTGGAAAATGGTAAGCCGTCCGATGAATCTACGGGGCGCTGATGCGAGAGTCCCAGTTTGAACAGGCCCTGTCGCCTCCACCCTTGGAGCTATTGCAACATTCTCCGAGTAGGCTGGCCTACATGCGTCCTAGCTGAATCCATCGAGAGCTGGTCCACTGCTCACCCTATGTGCCCCTACACGCGTCCTCTGCTGCGCCTGGCATCTTCTGTTGCGCATGACTTACTCTGCTACACGAATGGCTTTCGATGCTGATCCTATACGCGCCCTCCGTCGCGAATGGCTCCCTCGGTTGCGCGTGACTTCCTCTGCTGGCATCCTTTCTTGGGCAGGGTTTCCTCTGTTGCGGATTGCTTCCTCTGCTATCCGCACATTTTTCTTTGTTTTAGAATGGCTCCGTCTGCTACCCGCAAGGCTTCCTCTGCATTCGCTACCCGCATGGTTTCCTCCGCATGACTTCCTCTTTGCCCGCATGGCTACCGGGATGTGCACCCCTGCCGTTCCAGAAGGTTTCCGTCGCTGTTCCACTGGCGCCCAAAGCGTCGTCAACCGGTCGTCGACCTTAGGCGTAGAGTTAAGCAGAGTAGAGCGGAGCAGAGTAGAGTAGAGATGCGTAGGTGGGTAGAATTGAGCACAGCAGGGTGGAGCAGTGAGGAGTAGAGGTCAGAAGAAGAGAGCACAGTAGTAGAGTTGGCTAGAGTCGGAGCAGAGTGGAGTCGAGTAGATAACAATAGAGTAGGGCAGGGTCGTGTACGGAATGATAGGGTATATTAGAGTTGGGTGGAGTAGTGCAGAGTAGAGTAAGGAAAATGGTAAAGCAGAGTCGGGTATAGTAGAGTAGATCAGAGTATGTTGGAGTAGAGTGCGTACGGTTAAGCAAAGCAGGATAGAGTAGAGTAGAGAAGAGGATTGGCAAGTGGAGTAGAGTGGAGCAGTAGACGAGTAGAGAAGGTGTGGCATCCAATCGAGTAGAGACGGCATACATTAGAGTAGAGCAGGGTCGGTTCGGGCAGCGTTGGTAAGGTAGGCTAGAGCAGAGTAGGGTAGAGTCGATCAGAGTAGTGCAGACTAGGCTAGATGGTAGAGGAGAGCCGGGTAGGATGGAGTAGAGCATTGCAGAGCAGCGTCGGGTTGAGCAGTGTAGAGGAGAATCGTTGACAGTGGAAACGGATCGCAGTATCGTATAGTAGGGGTCGAGTAGAGTAGACCCGAGTCTGTGAGGGTAGGGTAGGGTTTGGAAAAACGAATAGAGTAGTGTAGGGCACAGTCGACCATGGAGCCAGTAGTGTACGGCATGTGTCAGAGCCACGTCGGGTATACTTGAGAAGAGTAGAGCATCGTAAAGTAGAGTAGGGCAGAGCCAACAAGGGTACAGACCAGTTGAGTAGCGGAGGGTCGAAAAGAGTAGTTCCGAGGAGAGTTTCATGGTAGTAGCGGTAACAGCATTCGTAGTAGTAGTAGTAGTAGTAGTAGTAGTAGTAGTAGTAGTAGTAGTAGTAGTAGTAGTAGTAGTAGTAGTAGTAGCAGTAGTAGTAGTAGTGGTAGCAGTAGTAGTAGTAGCAGTAGCAGTAGTCGTAGTAGTAGTCGTAGTAGTAGTAGTAGTAGTAGTAGTAGTAGTAGTAGTAGTAGTAGTAGTAGTCGTCGTAGTAGTCGTAGTCATAATACTAGTAGTTCTGGTAGTAGTAGAAGTAATCGTAGTAGTAGTAGTAGTAGTAGTAGTAGTAGTAGTAGTAGTAGTAGTAGTAGTAGTAGTAGTAGTAGTAGTAGTAGTAGTAGTAGTAGTAGTAGTAGTAGTAGTAGTAGTAGTAGTAGTAGTAGTAGTAGTAGTAGTAGTAGTAGTAGTAGTAGTAGTAGTAGTAGTAGTAGTAGTAGTATAGTCGTAGTAGTAGCAGCAGCAGTAGTAGTAGTAGTAGTAGTAGTAGTAGTAGTAGTAGTAGTAGTAGTAGTAGTAGTAGTAGTAGTAGTAGTAGTAGTAGTAGTAGCAGTAGTAGTGGTAGTAGTAGTAGTAGTAGTAGTAGTAGTAGTAGTAGTACATAGTAGTAGTCGTGGTCGTCGTGGTAGTCGTAGTAGTAGTAGTAGCAGTAGTAGTAGTAGTAGTAGTAGTGGTAGAA